CATTCTAAAACTATTTAATTTTTATGGCATGTAACCTAACTCATCCGCTCAATAGTTAGCTAATATCAATATAGGTTCCTCTTAGCACAAAGCCAGCAATATTCGAGCAGTTAGTCCACTAGGAAACACTATCATGACCATTATATATCAATACTTGCTTCATTTTCCTAGATCCGTAGGAATCACCCTCACCCTACTACTCTACATCTCATGGAGTTTCCACTAGTCCCGACGTGTCATATCGTGAATGAACAGTCGTACCTAATGCAAAACCAGATAGTCATTCGAATTAAATATTTTGCAGACTCAAACGAGAGTTGCGCATAAGGCTAAATCAAAAATTCTAAGTCTATTTAGTTCCTATTTCATACAATCCAAAGCATTCACTTAATAACCTATCAGTACTAGCACAAATTCCAAACAACACATCACCGACATCTATCATAGCATGTGAAAAATCAGGCTATCTAGCATACATATACCAATATTATATCCAAAGACAATAAACAATATTTTAACACTTTCCCTTTTTCCTCTAGCACCGGTTGACTATACAGACTGTGCTTACGATCACTTTTTCCAAACCAATTTGTTTATTTTCATAAAATTTATTTTAAAATAACTCTTGAGCCACAAACTTCAGTTCAGAGGTCACCAAAGTGAGGCTGATTCTCTCAAGATGTGCTTTGATACCAGTTTTTAACATATTAAATTTTCAGAAAAAATTGAACGTTGAAAAACAACACAATTACTTTATTAAACATTATTCATATGATAAATTCAACATTCTAAACCCAACATCAAATCCAATGTTACAATCATGATTAATTAATATTCCAAAATAATTATGAAACATTATTATTCAAGTTCCAAATTTTAGCATCCCGCCTCGAGCCAACATGTACAATCATGGCCGACCATCCTATGTACCTGTAATAGTATTCTTAAGGGAAAAGGGTAAGCATAAAGCTTAGTGAATTCCAAACATACATGGTATCATATCATATCATCCATACCCCTATTCACAGAGACAAACAGTATCAAACATATAACCACACATGAATGTCAAAGAACACATAAGTAACAGGCATACTCCTACTGGGACACATTAGCTAAACCCGATCCCCTTGCTCAGTACATCGAGCCCTTGGGATACATTGGCTAAGCCTGATCCCCTGTACCCAAACCCATTGGGACACATTGGTTGTGCCTGATCCCCCTTGCTCAGTTCGTCGAGCCCTTGGGATACATTGGCTACGCTCGATCCCCACTCGGATGCAATGAGTCCTATCATTCATAGTCCTAAATAGTTGATGAAAACCACTAGACTCTACCATTCCTAGTACTACCCGCACAAATAATACAATCCATAACACACATGAATTAATATAACGAAGATAGAACACAACACGATGTAGTGAGGAACTCACCTCCAAAAGCAACACAACCTCCAAATCAACCTGGAACACACACCTTTTCTTTCCCTTCACACTTCCGAATAATAACAATAGTCTAAGTTAATCTTAGTTATTCATTGACCCTAATCATGTAAATAGGCAAATGGGTTAAATTTCAGATTTCTACAAAATAATTAAGGTCTGTTCAGAACCTATTTTTCCCATCTTAACCTCCATATTTTGCAAAACTGAATTAAATGTAGATATATCAGGTCCCTAACTTTTCAGGGACTATTCGCAATTTTCATACGATTTTTCTACAATTTTTGGTGAATTTTATAAAACTGCCTCGCATAACAGCTCATTCCAGATCAGTCTTGGTAAATTGTCATTTTCAGCCTAGTTGTAATTATTTCTGGCTTTCGGTCAAAACTAATGAAATGGATTACATTCATACGAAACATTGGGAACTGGTCTTGACTGAAACTGATGTGTCATGATTTTTCTATAATTTTTAAAAGACAAAGACAAATTAGTGAATTTTCCAATAATCTCAGTTTTGGTTATTTTGGGTTAATTAGCTTCTTAACCCATTAATACATAAAAAAACAACTTATAATATGAAAATAAAGTCCTTAACAATAATATAACTCATTAAAACAAAATCCAAGATGAATCTCAACCCTTAGCTTGAAGTACATTGCTTTAAAAGGGTAAAACAAAGTACAATGCCTTGATAGTAAAATCAGCAAACTAGGGTTAGGGATTTTGCACCAAAACATCCCTTATCACCACCTAAATCCCAAACGATGTTGTAAAACCACCACCCACTGCCACTATGGCAGTCGTGGTAAACGGCGGCATCCGCCACCATGATGGTGGTAGTGGTGGCATTTTCGGTTAAAAAGAAGAGTGAAGGATCAAGGGAGAAAAGTGAAATACATTATGATGAAACTCTAGCTAAGGCAACCTAAAAAAATCATTCCTTGTCTCCATCTTTCCAATCGTCGTTCATTCCCTCTCATTCATCTCTTATCCGCACATAGGGTAGCAAAAGGGGTAGGGTACGACCATATAAGGAACGGTTTGGGCCAAAGGGAATTAAGGCTAACCTCTACTACCGTCCAATTTCAAGGATAAGTCAAAACTCACGTATTATGGGCTTTTTAAGCCATCTTTACATATTTGGTTCTCAAACCTTGGTCACTCTTCAACAATACCCCTTTCTTCTTAACTAAATTTTGCTACTTATACCTTTTATTTAGGTTTGAATTTAATATAATCCTTATCTTCCTCATAATTAATTAATTGGACCCATAGATCAAAGTCCTTACATTCAAAGTTTATAAATTGCCCCTTTTAGTCCCTCTTATTAATACAATATTATTTATTTACTATTATATAATCACTTCAAAATTTATGACGCATTTTATTTAACTATATTTATATTTATATTCTTTTAATAAAATAACTAACGAAAAACATATTTTTTGTAAGAATATTACATATGTACAAAAAACATGCATTTTGATCTTTCTACTAATATAGAGAATGTATTTTATTTTTGAAAATATGATGTCCAAAAATATACTAAATTTTATTATCTTATTGTTTATCGTGGAATCAGAATCCTCAATAAATCTAATTTAATGTATTCCTTTTGCTGAAATATTCTAAAACAAAATTACATATTATATTCTAGTTAGTTAAGTTTAAGTTTATTTATCAAATAATTAAATGAAATCAAAATATTCAGAATAATTAACTTAAAACTGTGAGAACAATGATCTGATTGTGCAGGGACAAGGCTCGAAAACTCAAACCTTGAGTTAATGCTTAAGATCAATGTATGCTTCTGATTAAGAGTTCCAATCAAGTTTGGCAATACCATTCGAGACTGAAGATGAGAATCAACAAAGTACTTGAACTATTAAATATGGAGTAATGAGTATAATAAAAGTAAAGACAATAAATGAACAAGTAGAATGTTTGAAAGAGTTTTGATTTGAGAGAAAGATGCAAGTGAAGTAAATTCAAATATAACTATCTTTAGAGCAACAATCTGTCATTTATTCTTGTCATTAAACACTCCTTATATAGCAAAAGGAGGAACACATTACAACCCGAAATACATACAAAGGACCGGACAATGACACTACTTCTGACATTCTAATTGTCCAAATAAACAAAAAGACTAAGTACTAAGTAACGTCACATCATAGAAAAGACAAGAACAATTAATACATAGATGGATATACTGTTTCAGACTCATTCTCCATTTCGGAACATCTTCTCTTTGAACATACTCTCTACTCCGGACACAATCTTCACCTCTGACCACAGACTGACTTCGGACAATACTCCATTTCGGACCTAAGACTGACTTCGGAACTTCAAAAGGTTAGAGATTGCTAGAGGTTAACTTTCAGGTTCCAAAAAAACAAATTAGAATAAGCTTAATACCTTTTTTAACAATATATGTTGGTATTTGTAACATTATTCTATAACAGTAATATACATATATAAATATTAATCATTCAACATGTTATCAAACAATTATTTCATCAAATACATAGGCATCATCAAACATAAATTATAAATCATATATACCATTTATCATTAAGTAATTATCATTTTATCAAGATACCAATCGATTAGAAAATACTAAAATATCAATGGTTTAATCGTATCATCAAACATAACTATTGTTAAAAAAACACAACATAAAATAATTGTCTGCATGTAACCCACCATAAGCAAATTTTCGAACTTCCTTTATTTCCAACTTATCTCTTGCTTCACTCCCTTATTTCACCAACTTACACCTAGTTTTCTTATCAAGTTTTAATAATTCTAATGCTTCTTCTACATTCACTTGTTTCTGATCACTAATTTCATGGTTTGCATTCTTAGCAACATAAAATGTATGCATCTTTGAAATCTTGTTAGATTTCCTATCACTTTCTTCCCCTAGTTCCACATCTTACTTTTTTTCTTTTTCTTTCTCACCTATTTACTTTTCCATGTGCCTCATTAAAAATATCCCATCCTCATTTGTCCGAGCTTTTGTTTTCCATGTCATTTTCATTTTCATTGGCTTCACATATTTAAACAAAGATACATTATCCCACCGATTGTTGTCCAAAAACATTGAAAAGTACATTTGGTGCAATGTATATTAATAAAATACCACTGTCTTTATCAAATTATAACAATATTAAGTAAATAAATCTTATACTAATATAAATATTAGATTTATATTATAATCAGAATCTCTTTATGATTTTGAATTCATTTCCAAGTAAAACTTACCACGAGTTTTGGAATCTCTCCATAGATATCTTCTATTTTTTGGTGTATCTTGTGTTGTCAATTTATATGCTCTGGATTTGTAAGATTGAAAATAAGACCATAAAAATGCCCTTAGTTGTGTACTGGAAAAAACACTTGCAGTTCCAACATAAATAGAAATAATGTTTAAAAAGTATAATATAAAGGTGTTGTCTTGTAATAAAAAATACATAATAGATTAATAGAATTGAAATCCACTTTTATCTTGATGTCATATAAGTAATTGTTCACAACCTCATCAAAAATTCAGAATCATTCTACAAAAGGTATTGAAGAATCCAATAATTTTTCTGTATGTACATATAGAACAATATAAATATTAGAATACATTGGAATACATTATAATTAGAATATAGAACAGCAGCCCAACAATCAATAACAAAAGGATGTATCTTATGATTTGGACGCATACCCTCAAAATGCACCCTAACCATTATGTCTCCATACTTGGTTTCAAACACCATTTCCCTTCAAACAAAAATATTTCATTTTAATTAAAATAAATTATTTTACTAAAACTAATGTAAATTAATTAGAATAATATTTCTTTTGAATAGTGTTATAATATTCTAATAAGAATACTACACAATACTCAAATTTACAAATATATTACCTCAAAAATATACATATCTAATAAAGAGATTTTATTAAACATTATTAATTTACTTACATTGAATTTTTGTCTTGAGCGTGTCTAAACACGATTTCAGTCACTATCTCTTGTTCGGTACTGACCTTTTCACTTAAGTCGGTTACCCTATTCACAAAAAATGATCTATAAATACATGGATTAGTCACCTTCCTTTTCCCTCTTTCATCCACATTCTGACCCTTTTTCCCCTTCTCATCTAATATTTGTTCTTCATTCCCTTCTACCTCTTCATCTTCATATTTAACCCAAGAATTATCTCAAGGTTTCGCATCGTTTGTTAACTGGGTTATTTGAAGGCCGGAAGAAGGAAATTATGAATTTCCAAATGTTAGTTTTTTTGGAATAGAAGATTTATCAGCTAGAATTAGAATTTTATTTGAATCTAGATTTCAATTTGAAAATATTCTTAACAAATCATTATCCGATTCTTTTATGAATGAATCAAACCAAAGGGATAAATCAAAAGATATACCTTTTGGATTGTGTTTTGGTGTAACAGTTGAGGTCTCATCTATGTTGTCTCCAATCGTCTTCTCTACAATATTTATACCTTTTGGATTGTGTTTTAGTGTAACAATTGAGCTCTCATATGTGTTGTCTCCAACCGCCTTCTCTACAATATTCCCTTCCATAGTCTTCTCCTCCCTAACAATCATTTTACCACCCTCAACAAGATTTTTGCACTCAACATTCCCTTCACCACCCTTAACCAGATTTTTGCACTCAACATTCCCATATAAATTCTTCTTTCCGATAGTTTCCTCTATATTACTCCCCAGTAAAGCCAAATTTATTTGGTCATTAGCATTTATGTTTTCAAATTCTATTTGCCTTTCTTTACTGTCCTGATGTCCAACAGTTTCCTTACTAATATTACTCTCTAAACCCAAATTTATTGGGTTATCAACATTCATATCTTGATCTTCTGTTTGACTTTCTTGATTCTTGATAAACTTCTCTAGTAATGGTTACATAGTTACAAATTGAAACAATTTTGTATTTATTTCATGATTCTTATCAGCATCAAAATTAGTTGTTTTATTATTATCTTCAACTCTTTCACCTTTGACTATAGTTCTATCATTCACAATTTATGTATTTTCTCCACTAGAAAAAAAGTGTAGTAAAAAATATGTCTCTAAACTTCCTTATCATATCCTTCGTTCTATTGTCCCCGGGGAATTTCGATAGACAGTGAAAAATAATAACTTCCATGTTATCTTTTTTAGCTGAAATATTGTTGAAAATTGTTTCATACTTTTCTTCATCATGCTGAAAAAAAAGGCATTAGAATATTTTTCTTACATGAAATTAGAACAAACACAATAGTATACATAAGTAATAAATATAAATAATTTGAAACAGGTAGATAAAAGATAGAATATTTTGAAATATTTATTGTCAATTACTTGTCAACAATTATTATTATATCAACCATTCAACAAAGTATTTCACTTATATACATGATGTGAGAACACAATAAGGAAAGCAAAACCAATTTCTTGTAAATACAAACATGAATAAATAAACCATATAAAAAACACAACATCAAATGTGTTCCTTTTCTTAGAAAAAGAAAATATAAAGCTTTAAAATAATACAAAATTAAATAATATATTCTAAGACATAATTAAATAACATATTCTATTTAGAATATATCTCAATACGCGTGTCTTGATTCTCATTCTTGTCGCCTTCTAAAGTTAAATTTGTTCAAATAGATCCCTCACCCGAAATCCTCCAGCTTCAACCTCAAAATATTGTCTTTCCTTCAACTTATCTATTGTCCACATCGTAACTAATGGTGTTTTATGTTCTATTTTTGGAGCTTGCATTCAATTGCATCGAAGTAAATTAGCTACATTATTTATACATCATATTAGATATTCATTATTAAGAAAAAAATAAGTACATGAAAAAATACCAATAGCAACAACATCGGTCCTCTGTAATAACACTTGGTGTTGTTCGGACGTCATCTCCCTTTTGAATTCTTCGCACAATACAACAAATAGGCACACCAATCGATTTTAGAAATGTCATTTACTTCAGCAAGTAATCTAACAAGAACTAAGTTGTTTGTCCCCATTGGAATAGATTTTGCAAACATTTTCACAAATAAAGCAATGAAACCTAACTTGAAATTCATATCCACTTTATCAAATTTTTTAATAAACTTCTTGTAGTTTGTGGCTTGAAATTCATATTCAATTTATCGAATCCATCCATCCATCAAACACTAGATGATGTTCGTTAACCATATTCAAATCAAATTAGCTTTATCCGATTTTTGGTAGACCGAACACTTTATGAATTTCTCCTTTTTCATATTTATTCTTTTTCCGCAAATCAGAATATTGTTCGTGCCTTCGTTATAATGTTCAATGCAACGCATCCGTTTCTCGCTAGGCATTAATAAAATGATCTAATAGTTCCGGTTAACAATTGTAACCTTTATATGAAATAAATAATAGAAAATTATTTGAGTATTATGTGTTCTATGTGTAATTAATTATTGTATACATGCTTATAGCAATATAATAAAATAGGAATAAAATACACGTCTAAAATAGAATAATAATTATGCCAAATATGTTTGACGAAAGTCGTAGTAGCCGTGACAAGGATTCCAGAGATATAAGGAATGCTTAAATCAGACTTATAACGAAGAAGTTATGATCCGTTGAAGTTTTGCGATTAAACCCGATTCGACATCGCGTTTCGTAAAACGTAAATGTTTCATATGTTACTTTTTAGCCTTAGATATCTAAACAAAAGACATAGTAGTCTTTAAACCAAGAGTGTACATATAGAGAATGTCAAACTCTGACTTAATTAGAGCAAGTTATGATTATTCTAAGTTTTAGGGTAGCAGTATACACTCAGAAATCGAATTTTAGATCGGTCGATTTTTAGCCAAAATAATTTAAATGAGAATTGAATATATCATTAATAGGAGTTCAACGATATAAAGACAGTGGAAAACGAACGTTGGATGACAAAGTTATGCACTTTATACGGGCTTTAACAGTCTAAGCCTGTATGAAATAAATAAATTCAAAATTAGTCGACGGAGTCTAAATAAAAGTTGTAGATCTCGTTGATAGCTACGTGTGGATATAAAGAAATTAAAAAATGTAGCTCATATGAAAAAGTTATGCAATATTGAAATTCTAAAATCGTTGTACACGTGTGTGCATCGCACACAACTTTCTAGAAGCCAACCACATCGCCCATGTAGAAAGTCGGCACGTGTCAGCGCATCTGAGCAACCACGTCAACCATATGTGTGGTGTGCATGACCCTTTCATAGCACACAGGTCTGGGTTCCAACCTATAAATAGCTCATTTGCGCTCCTTCCATTCCACACATCTCCAAATATCTCTCTTTCAATTTCTCTCAATTTGGTCTGAATTTTTCATAAAGTTTAGGGTATTTTAGCAAGTTCTTAGGTCCCTAGGAGCCCGATATCTTGTAGCTATCATTCCGAACTTCCGCCAGTGTAATTTCCAGACTTCTATCTAGGGAATCACTGTAGTTTAAACTACACTCCATCTTATTTCAGTGTAATTTATATTTAAATTCATAGTCATTGCTATGAATTTTTAAATATAAACTATCAGTCATACCATGTCATTATATTGATTGATCTACTTAGAGGAGATGTGACTAGAATGGTCATGTTGGCTTGGTTATTAGATTTCAAAAAAATTATTACGCCGAAATGGTTCTACCTCCCAACTGTCCTACCTGGGTGTTCCTTATTTGATAGAACTATCAATATTCATTGGAATAATTGATACGTCTAGACTATTTTCAGTCACGTAGAATATTATGCTAAGACTTAGTGATAATGATACTAGGTTGCATCAAAGGAAAAGTCAGTTGCTAGAAGCGAAGTGTTGTCCGAGTTTCGATTCATCACTTTAATAAGTGAGTGCATAGTTACATTCATCTTACACATAAATATGAAGTGTTTAAGATGATTACATGCTATGTGTGCCTATTATCTGTGTTCCTGATATTTATGCTAGATGAACGATTTATATATGTTTTACTTGATTCAAACTATATATGTATTTTTATATCTATAAATATATTGGGTAAATATGGGTTGATAAAGGATGATGAGAGATGAAAGATGAAATAGATGATGAGAGGCCTTGACTTAAAGATGATATAGTCGTCTAGTGGAGTATAGATGCCGATCACAGACTATTCTAGACAGGCTAGTGGAATGCTAGTAGGTTCGCAAGATGTAGGTGTTTTAAAGTAAATGCTTACCAGGCGTACTCCATCCCCCCCCCCCAATGGTTTCCTTATTGACATATAATGTTAAAGAATCTCCTAAGTATTATTGTTTATCCCGAAGAAGATCCTTCAATATATCTTGTATAGTTTTTTGCTCTTTCACATTGCTTCTTTCTTAATACACAATTATCCCTGCTATTCCTCTTCCTTATTGCTTCTTTAATCTTTCTCACTCCATTAGCATATTCTCTATCACCAATTCTCTTTTTCACATAGATTTCTTCATTGGATTCATCATCTAATTCATTACATCAGTAGTAAATGTTAATAATACCACCAAAAAAGGTATTTTAACTAATTACAAACTAATATTCAAACAAAATATTATACATATACACTTAGGCTTTATTAATCCAATAGTCTTATTAATATAAATGCTAGATACTTATTAAAATTTATTAGTAGGAATTGTACGTATTTGTTCAAATTATAATATTTATAAAGAATCACACTTAAATGTTGCAAATCCTATATCATCTAAGTAAAACAACAAAAATTAACTAATATATTATGTATCATATCAGAATATATAGAATATATAATATGAACCATAAACATTTCATTCCACAGTACTTTCATATCAGATAATGTACATTTCATTTTACCCATTATAGAAACATACTTTCATATCAAAATATCTATAACTTTAGTTATGAGCCATAAGCAATTTATGTCACCTTTTAACTTATGTTATGCCAATTACTGTTTATACAAAAGGTTCCATAATATTAGAATTATAAACTATAAAATCATAGACGGTTTATATTTCACAAAAGTTTCGATTACTTTAACTGTTGACTCATTTTCTGTATCTGATTTTATTGAAGAATCAGAAACATGTTTTTTTTCCTTCACCTCATTATGGATCAATTTATTGTGACGTTTGAAATTTTGTTTGACTTTTCTTTTCTTCTTTTTTCTTTACTTTATCTGCATCAATAAATTATTTTATTACAAGCATATTATATACTTTTATAGAATGTACAATATAGATATATATAGATATATATATATATATATATAATATAATATATTATATTATAGATATATATATATATATATATATATTATTCTTATAAATGACAACATATGCCATTATTTTATTATAATACTTTAGTAAAATATCATACTTCTAATCTTAGTAGATTCATCAATATCTATTGTGAATGTCTGTGACTCGAATGTGTCTGTGTAGATGAAGAATCTAAAATATAATGTCTTTTTTTTCAAGTTTTTATTTGTAGCTTTAATTGTATCAAGAAATTTATAAATTGAAAGAAATTATAACATTTATTAAAATCAATTGGAATGTTCAGAATAATTAACTTAAAAAAACAAATCCATAAAATTTTCTTTTATGAGGTATTTTAAAGAATGGTTGTTGATACATTTTAATCCTTTTTCAATGTTGTCAACTATAAATTTTAGAATACATAGTGGAACATATAAATTGTTTTAACTAAACACTATACTACAATCATATCTAAGGAATTTATGTTATCAAAGAGTATAGTATTAGACAATTTATGCATCTAGCTAGAACTTGTTGACCACATACATAATATATAAATCTAATGATATGATGAACAATTAGTTAGAATA